CCAATAGAAAACCAAACATGATGATCCTACTATTATGCATTAAAATAATGTACCTTATGTATTAAAATAATGTACCTAATGCACATAAATAATGTACCTGAATCAGAAACACAATATTCACATCAGAATGTAGAAAATAATTTTCAATCACTTTGAATATAATGAAATATTGAACCCTATTAACAGGAATAATCTTTGTTTGCAGCAGCAGAGATAGGTGTTCGGAGAGGAGAAGATAGCGTCCGAGAGGTGAGAGAAGCAGATTTTATATTAAAAAAAAAAAAGAAAAAAAAAAAGATGTGCGACGTATATTATTATATTTTTTGTTAGTATACGGTGAGTTCATTTTTAGTGGGCTCATTATATTTTGATACAAGTTCATTTTTAATATATATACAACATGTTTATTTTTATAGTGTGCTATAGATCAAAATAATCTTGTTGTACACTAAAATGAACTTGTAGTTTATTAAAAATAATATATATGGAGTATCATTCATGATATAACAATTGATTTTTGATAGTACACCTCATGCATATCCCAAATGGATCTATTAAATGACAAAAAAAAAATTAATCAAAATTATTTAAATCAATTAAAAAAAAGTGTAATTGAATCAAAGTAATATTCATTTATCAAATTACCACTGATAAGACTAGTGAAATTACCCCTATACCCGCCCACATTGCCCTACCCAATGGCTTATCCATATTCCCGTCTTAATGGGGAGTATTGAGTAAACACAATATATAATATACTTTTTTGAAACAAAATAGAATATATTTTTGAGTGACAATATCTCTGTTACAATGCAGTATCGCACAAATAGTCAATACCGTCTTCACTAAGGTTCGAATCCACAACCTATTGAAGCACAAACAGTTAATACCGTATTCACTGAGACTCAAACCCACAATCTCCCATATTGGGGTACAACTTGGTGCCACTAGACCACAAGGTCTTAACACAAAATAGAATATATAATTTTGTTGAATCCAAATAGAATATATAATTTATTACTATTACATTTAACAGATTTTTATAGGTACATCATTATCATCATCATTTCAAGTTTAGTAGATAGATTTAAGAGTTAATACCATTCGAGGTACTCCGAGTATAGTGGTTTTGCCACATGTGTCTAAAACTTTCAAATTGACCATCTGTGGTCCTAATACTTTTAAATTTAACCATTCGTGGTCCAAGTTAACCGCTCATGGTCCTTCAACTATTAAATTTTAACCAACCATAGTCCTTTAAAGAGGACCACAATTGGTTAAATTTTGAAACTTGAAGGACCATGGGTGGTTAACTTGGACCACGAATGGTTAAATTTGAATGTTGAAGGACCACATATGGTCAATTTGAAAGTTTAGGACTAAACGTGGCAAAACCACTATACTCGGAAGATCTAAGATGGTATTAACTCAAGGATTTAATTAATCCGGGGTATCCCGAATTACTAAACCCGATAATAATAGGACTAGGATAATGTGGTAATAAAGGTGATAAATGTGTGTCGCGGGGACAACTTTTGTATTGATAATGTTTGTAGGAGAATTACAAGGTGAAGGTAATAATAAGACCAGATAATAGATGTCCTAAACAAGACCTTGATCCCTCTTTTTATATTAGCTAACCTCCCAACGGCCCACCCTATTCTCGTGGGGCGGTTGGATCGCGGTTTGACCGAGTCCACGCGGGTACCCGGGGCAACCTTCTGCCCCTGGGTCGAGGTAGGCCCCAGCCGTGGCCGACGGGTCGAAGTAGACCCCTGCCGAGGTCGACCTTGGTCGGGCCGCAGTCAGCCCCTAGCCGAGGCCTTAGTCGGCCCGTGCCGGGGTCGGCCTTGGCCCCTTGCACCACGCCTTCCCGGGTCGATTTGCCCCGAGCCCGTTCCTAATATATCCATCATCAGTCCCCCCACTCTCCGAGTTGCGAGTCGTCGTCAACGAAGGAGAGTAGCCCGAGTCGAAGGTCGACCCCAAACCCACTGGAAGACGTCTGCCCCGCCTCCTTCCTCTTTAGCCGACTTTGGTGTGATTCCATCGCGATCGAGACTTCTTCTCTACAAGAACACTCATAATTCTTGGACTCCTTGGCATTGTGTATGAGAGTTTTATTTCTAAGTTCACTTTACTTCTTTTCGTGCACTTTCCTTGATGTGTCCTCGTCTTGGGCGAGCCCATGAGATGGCCCCCTTGATGCGTCCTCCTCTTGGGCGAGCTCATGAGCTGGCCTCCTTGATGCGTCTTCCTCTTGTGCGAGCTCATGAGGTAGTCATCCTCCTCTTGGGTGCGAGCTCATGAGGTCACCCCTTGATGCGTCCTCCTCTTGGGCGAGCTCATGAGGTAGCCGTCCTCCTCTTGGGCGAGCTCATGCCCCTTGATGCGTCCTCTTCTTGGTCGAGCTCATGAGGTGGCCTCCTTGATGCGTCCTCCTCTTGGGCGAGCTCATGAGGTAGCCGTCCTTTTCTTGGGCGCGAGCTCATGAGGTAGTCCCATCAATACGTCCTCCTCTTGGGCGAGTTCATGAGGTAGCCCCCTTGATGCGTCGTCCTCTTGGGCGAGCACATGAGGAAGTCCCCTTGATGTGTCCACCTCTGTTGGCGGGCCACTCGAGGTATATGACCTCCTCAATGTGCCCTATTTCGAGGAGGGTGTTAACCTACACCTTCACGAACCCCCTCCTCTCCGCGGAGTTGTACCTCTTGCGCTGTTGTGCCAGCTTGATTGTGGGGTCAACGACAAGTCTGTGGGTGATGAAGTAGCTGTTGAGGCCCGGCATGTCCTCGGGTCCCCATGCAATCACCTCCTTGTAGGCCTTGATAGCATCGACAATGCGAGCTTGGTTCCCACCTGTCTCGGGCCAACCTCTCCAGGCGGGCCCGGCCTGGGTTGACCTCCCTATATCGCTATCTCGATCACGATCTTGATGGTGTCACCCTGCTTGTCCGAGGGTCGGGGCGAGTTGACCATCCCTTCGGCCTGGACGCCGGGTGTGCGTGGTGGTCTGGTGCGTGTGCCAACCCCTCTCCCCCTGAGAGAGGTGGAGGTGGGGTCGGAACCCTGTAGGCGGCCTCCGGGCGGACTCGTGTACCTCCTTGGAGCTCCTCCGCGAGGCGGGCCAGCGTCACGGAAGCTTTTTGCGGGGGGCCCTGACGTGCCATTGCGGTGGTTGGGTGAGCTGAATCCTTTACTGGCGGTCCGTTTGTTGTTGGCCCTGGGCCCAACCTGTCTCAAGCCGACACGCGGGTGCCCAACCTCTCTAGGGTAGGCATGGCTTGGGTTGACCTCCCCTTATCGCCATTTCAATGTTGGTCTTGATGAGTGCCACCTCCGTCCCGATTGTCCGAGGGTCGGGGCGAGTTGACCTCCCCTCAACCTGGGTGCCGGGCGCGCGAGGTGGTCGTGTGCTTGGGCCGCTGCGCCCTCTTGAGGAAGGCGGAGGCGGGGTCGACACCCTTCGGGTGGCCTGTGGACCGACCTTCGTACCTCTTTGGAGCCCCTCCGCGAGGCGGGAAAATGTCACTAGGGCCTGTTGAAGGGCGGCCGCCCCCTCCTGGAAAAGAGCAAGATTTGGAGGAGGACGGGGGGGCAACGCACCATTGCGGTGGTTGGTGGGGTGATCTCTGAGGTCACCCACCGACCTCAAAGAAAGCGTTCGTTGCTGACTAGTGGTCCCGTTGAGCCCACCCCCGGTAGGGGAGGCACGGGTGTTACTGGAGTCGCGAGAGTTGGACCTCGACCTTGACATAACTAGTGGAATATGGAGCACGCCCGAGCTTGTACGTCAACTCTCAACAAGAGCTCCAGTGATGGATTTAATTAACCCGGGGTAGCCCGAATTACTAAACCCGATAATAATAGGACTATGATAATGTGGTAATAAAGGCGATAAGTGTGTGTGTCGCGGGGACAACTTTTGTATTGATAATGTTTGTAGGAGAATTACAAGGTGAAGGTAATAATAAGACCAGATAATAGATGTCCTAAACAAGAAAATGATGATCCCCCTTTCTATATTAGCTAACCTTCCAACCGCCCACCCTATTCTCGTGGGGCGGTTGGATCGCGGTTTGATCGAGTCCACGCGGGTACCCGAGACAGCCTTTTGCCCGTGGGTCGAGGTAGGCCCCAACCGTGGCCGACGGGTCGAAGTAGACCCCTGCCGAGGTCGACCTTGGCCGGGCCGCAGTCGGCCCCTAGCCGAGGCCTTAGTCGGCCTGTGACAGGGTCGCCCTTGGCCCCTTGCACCACGCCTTCCCTGGTCGGTTTGCCCCGAGCCCGTTCCTAATATATCCATCATTAGTATTTGGTCGTCATTAAACCATGAAGTAAAGAGTTTGAATCATAAAATTTATGAGTAAGGAAGTGCTTTTGCACTTTTAAAATTTTACCTCACATGAAAATCTAATTGTTACACATTGAACTTGTATTATGGATCGGACTTTAATCTAAAAATTATGTGTAAAGTTAATAAATTATGTGCGTGTAAATAAAATGAATGTAATTAACATATTAGGTGTCTTTAATTAATAATGTACGTGTCTGTAAATAATTAATTAAAGACACATAATTGTTAACCATATGCACATTATATTATAGGTTGTAAATAATTAATTAAAGACACATAATTGTTACGTTAATCATAGGCACATTATTATTATATTATATTATAGGTTAAGTAGTATATGTACATATATAATATGTTAACTGTGCACACATAATATGTTAACCGTATATTATGTGTTTGAAAATAATATCACTTATGAATAAATGAACAAGAAATCCACCATTGTCTCATTTGAAATCTTATGATGGATGAAGTGTTTTGTCACTTTTGAAATCTACCTGCATGGCAGCACACGAACCCTAGTTTCAGTATATATATATATATATATATATATCACTTGTGAATGAACAAGAAACCCACCATTGTCTCCTTCAGATTTTCCACTTCCTATATAAACAGCATAAAAATTTTTTGAAAGGTAAAAACAGCATAAAATTAATTTCATAGAAATGGCAATATTATTACACAGAAAAGTTCAATTCATGCATAGACGTAAACATTACATTACATTTCACATAACCTAACCCACAAACACCACGGTCCAGCGATACTACGTGCCAACTCGACGACACATAACATAAAAGACTTCTGCTTTATACGTACTCCTAAATTCTACTCACTCACTCTTAATTACTTCTTGACATGACAATTTTTAAGAATGGACTATTTTTATTAATTAAGTGGGTCCCTCTAAAAAATTGTTGAAATCAAGAATTTGAAAGTGAGATAGAAGTTGAGAGTAGAAAATAGGAGCACACATAATATTCTAATGAGATGACATTTTCTTGCTAAGCAAGTAACCAAAGGGAGGGTGACAAAACGTGCCATTGAGGAGCTCATCCGCAACAGCCTTGTACATGGCTTCCGTGAGATGGCCGCCGTCCCAATTGATGTACTTGGAAGGGTCCGGGCAAGACGTGGTGTGGGGCGAACCACACGTCTCGAAGATGTCGAAGTTCAACCGGACGCCGGTGGCGGAGCCGCAGCAGGCTCTGAAGGGCTCTGCGATGCCGTACTTGGCGGGGTTGGCAAGGACGGCGGCGTAGGCGCTCCAGTAGTCGGCGTAGACGATGGTAGCCTGAGGGAAATGGTGGCGGAAGGAGCGGAGGTTGGCTTGGAGGACGGCGTTGTGGGCGTAGCTCTCGTTGTTCACGGTGGCGGCGCAGCCAATGGCGTCACGGTCGGTGTACAAGTAGAGGTTTGCGGTTAGGCAGCCTAACGTCGGCAGGCCTTCCACCACCATGTACTTTGCGCCCTTCTTTAGCAATGCCTGTTTGTTTGCCATTTCAAACCAGCTTTTATTAATAGCTAGGGACTACAACCACAACAATACCATCAAGGATAAAAAACTTTAAAACTTCTATATAGGACTTCAATTTTCTTGTCACAATGAGGTGGGCATGAGGTGCCCTACTCCGGACTCGACAAGACAGGATTACTCAATTGATCAACAAAGACTAGATTTATGCTCAAAATTCTATAAAAGCAATTTTTTTTATTTATAGTGATTGACATTCTTGTTAAGTTGTTAGATATATAGTATTTTTGTATATATATATTTTGGATCATATATAAATCATGCAAGACAAAGTTTGATCTACAATGGAAGTCCAATAGGCTTGACGCACAGGGAGTCGAACTCACCTTGTGGTTAGCATACAAGTTAATAGTCCGACCAACTTGGTTGGGTTATCTCTTAATAAAATCAATTATAGTCCGATTTTGGTGTGAACCATTGCTTGGGTGTGAATTTGTGAAGTCCTATATTATTTAGATGAGATATCAGATGGTCGAGATGTTTGCAGTGGTGCATCAGGTGACGTGGTGCAGTGGTGTAGTGATATGGTGTACTAGTGGGGTGATGTATATTTACTGGGTCAAAAAAATTATAAATCACAAAGGTCAAACAAGATTAACGATACAGAAATGGTACACAAGTTCACATGTTAACAAGGTTCACATTTGAACCTAATTCTCTCTCTCTCTCTCTCTCTCTCTCTCTCTCTATATATATATATATATATATATATATATATATATATATATATATATATATATATATATTATTTTTTGAAATGTTAACACTTTTGAGCATTTAACCATAAAATTAATGTTTTAGTCAACTAGCCCGCATTGGTAGCTCAACTGGTCATAGAGGTGAAACTTTGGAAGAATGACCAGGGATTGAGTCTCACCAGTGGCAAAAGGAAGAATGTTTGTGGCGAGATGTGTGTGTATATAAGACTAGTATTTGTCAAAATTTAAGTATTTTTATTGTTGATAAAATTCAAACATCAATCATTAAAATTAATTATGAAATGTTACTTTTTTTTATAATACTAAATTGGTTGTTATATTAAAACATCACAACATACTATTAGCATATATTATAAAGCATTGTGTTATTAGATATCACATGATATTTTAAAATTTTACATTTAAATAAATAAATAAATAAATAAATAAATAAATAAATATATATATATATATATATATATATATATATATATATATATATATATACATACATACATAATTTAAAATTAATAAATTAAACTATACACAGTAAATAACTGATTTTTTATTTTTTTTCCCAAGACATTTAAAACTCATTGTGATTAATAATTCAGTCATCCACAATTAATCTACAAATAATCTAGCAATTAAGGTTATACCATGGAATGATGCCATTTCATTTAGGCGGGAAAATGACATGGCAAAAACATTTTGCTATTATATAGAGTAAGATAAGATAAGATTATAGAGTATTCTCAAGTGAGAATAGATACCTGGAAAAATTTAAGACTTTATTCTAAAGGTCAGTATGTAAGATCAATGGATCTAAAGCTAGGAGAAAACGTGATGATAATTTAAAAATTATCTTGAACTAAGTGTACTATGAAACAATATTTCATAATGCATTTTATGATATGTATACCACTCTCGCGGTGATCTTTCCTATTCGCAACATTACACACCTAATAATTAAGATTATCATATCACTGTATTATATTTAATAGAAATTAAAGAAAATGATTTTGTTTTTTTTTTTTTTTGAATTATAGTCATATAACTTATTTCATCCCTCAATTATAAGTACATTCATTTCCCCCCATGGTTGCAATACGCGTTAGTCGGACGGTAGAGTAGTGCCTAGTGCCTAGACAACCCAGGCGAGTGCTTACGCGGCTAACTAAAAAAAAAAAAAAAGAAAGAAACAGTGCACGTGTATGGGTACGGTAGTGTATGTCATATTATATATAAATATATTTATATATGTGTGTGTCTACACACACACACACATATATATATATATATATAAGAGAGAAAGAAAATTACGCTTTTATTCCTGTGACTATTGGGGTATTGTTAATTTGAGTACTTGACTTTCAAAATTATCAATTTAGTCCCGTAACTATACAATTGTTAACATATTTGGTCCTCCCGGCCAAATCACCGGCCAAATGTCGCCGGAAAAACGTAAATGTTTTTAAATTGTTTATTCATGATAGCAAAACGGTCAATTTAAATTTTTTAGAAAAGAGAAATTTATTTGTTCATCTTCTTGATCTGCTCTTTTCTCCGCCGGCCGGTACCACTTCCGTTACTACTCCCGCGTTCGACTGTCTAACTACAGGCCCATCCCCGGTCGCCGCTACCGCTGCCTCCTTGGAGCCCTTATCGACGGGAAAATCGAGGGATTTTCGGCAACACTTGCATTTCTTCTCACACGCACCGTCGCCGCTCTTGGTCAACGCAGAGAAAACGTCGCTGAATTAAGTCCATCTCGTCAGAGTTACATATAAAGATGGTCGGGTCCTTCTGTAAAACGTAGGAGGCCTTCACCGGGTACGAAAACTGCTCCAACCTCTCATCCGTTAGTATCAACTTCGGCATTGCACAAAGTGCATATACCCATGGCGGCGTTTTTAGAACTCAGATGGATTCTTGGAGGAGTGAGATTGTGGGAACGAGGGCTAATGGGGGTTGTTAAATTTTGGGCAATCTCAAGGGATACAACATCAGCTTCCATCAATGAACATCAGCAGAAGTCTCAAGACATAAACAAATCTGTTTAGTTCTGTTATGTTAGTTATTACTGTTGAATGTATCATTTCTTTCAGTTTGTTATTTTCTGTTAATCAGTTAGCAAGGGTCGTTAGCATAAGTACTCCTGCTTTGGATCTCATCAGAATTGAATGAAACAGAATACCTTTTCCCTTCCTTCTTCCAACCTTCCTCTCTTCTTTCCAGATCTCCAACATGGTATCAGAGCAGAATTAAAGCATTCTGAGATAATTCAATATGGCAGCGTGGCCTACGATCGGTGCAAGATCAACTCCAGTTGACAATGCAGCAGCTCCGACCATCGGAAATCCAGTTCCTGCCTCAGGAACTCCTATTCCGGCGATTCCGCCGACTCCGTCGATTGGATTGGCAACTACAGAGGTACTGTTCGATCCTGAATCTCATTCGAACCCTTATTTCTTGCATCCTAGTGAGAGTCCTGCTCTCATGCTCGTCTCTACGCCATTAGAGGGTCCAAATTATCACCCGTGAGCTAGAGCGATGACTATGGCACTTTCGTGCAAAAACAAGCTCAGATTTGTGGATGGATCTATACTCAAACCTTCCAGAGATGATAGAAAATTTGAGGTTTGGGAACGCTGTAATGACCTAGTGGTCACCTGGATTGTTCGATCGTTGTCCCCGACGATTGGACGCAGTGTCCTATGGATCGACACCGCATATGGGATATGGAGGGATTGGAAACGTAGGTTCAGTCAGCAAGACTTGTTCCGGATTCCGGAAATCAAGTGCGAAATATATCAAACGAAGCAGAACGACAGCAATTTGAATGAGTACTTCACTCAACAGAAATTGCTGTGGGATGAGCTCCAGATACTGAGACCCACCATCTGTTGTGGGTGTACTCTGAGATGTGAATGTGGTGAGAAAATTGAGCAATTGACAGGTTGAGAAGGATAAACTATCCATCTTTCTCATTGGTCTAAATGATAGATACACTGGTGCAAGGAACTAGATTATGCTTATGAGGCCTCTACCGGATGTGTGTGATGCATATTCCATGATAGCACAACAAGAAAGGCAATTCCATATTGGGACTACTGGTTTCGCCAGTCAATTACACCAAGCTGGTGAGAATGGAGCCACTGGTAATGTGATGATGACCATAGCACCAAGTGGCTACCAACAGAACTACAAGAAGTATACAACAGGAAACAAGAAGCCCATATGCACCTTTTGTGGATTCACTGGACATATAGAGGACAAATGCTACAAGAAACATGGTTTTCCACCTGGTTGGAAGCCAAAATCAAGAAGTCAAGGATCTGTTAACCAGGCTCAGGGACCACTGATGATTCAACAACAAGGAACTGATGAGAATCTTTCATTCACTCACAGTGATTTCAAAAGGTTTCTGGGGTTTGTTCAAATCCAGAAGTCACATGGGGAAAGGGGGACTCTGAGCACACCTCTTGATCAAGAAGTTCATGTCAACACCAACTCTGCTAACCTCATGTCAAGGACTCAAACTGAAGGTATAAAACCATCCCTTAATCTTGCAGATTTTGAAGGATATAGTTGGATATTAGATAGTGGTGCCACCCATCATATTGTGTGTAGTGTGAATTTCTTGATAAACCAGAAGGAAGTTCATGATATACATGTCACTCTACCCAATGGACAGAAGGTCAATATTAGCTGCATTGGTTCTGTGCATCTATCTAAAGATTTCATTCTGCACAATGTGCTCTATGTTCCTGGTTTTCAGTACAACTTAATATCTGTGGGGGCTCTTGTTAAGAATTCTGGTTGCACAATGAGTTTTCACACTAATCAGTGTATAATACAGGGTCCCATGGCAAGATGATTGGAATGGCTGAACTCCAGGATGGACTCTATCACTTGATTCTTCCTGTTAATCCCTCTGTAAATAGTACTGTTTTAGCTTTGAATAAGTGTACTCTATGGCATGCTAGACTGGGACATGCTTCATACTCAAAAATTCAGTTGTTACACAATGTAGATCCAACAATTCTAGCAAATAAAAGTTTGATTTGTGACTGTTGTCATTTTGCTAAACAAAAAAGACTCCCATTTCAGTCCAGTAATTCTACTTCAACAGCTTGTTTTGAATTGTTACACATGGATATTTGGGGTCCCTATAAGGTAGCATCCATTCATGGTCATCACTATTTTCTTACTATGGTAGATGATTACAGTAGGGCTGTTTGGGTGCACCTA